AAAAGCTTCCCTTCCCCCCCGCCTTCCCAAAAGAAGTTGTCTTCTATTTTGTCAGTTCCTCCCCATTTCAGTGAGCGTCAGAGCGCTGGCGGTGCCTGGCGTTTCCCCACCTGCACGTCGTAGCCTAGCTGTTAGGAGCGAGTTAGGTAAGGGCTTGTCACGCTCTGGTTCGGTTAACGGCTGAATGGATAAAGCTGTCGCGGCACCGCTACTCGGTCACACCCGTGACTTAAAAATCACTGCAGGGAAAGCTGTGTTTTTTGGCCGAGCTGCGGAGGTGGGAACGTACGGAATTTCAGTTCTGTAATTATTCCAATGCAGGATGGGATAAGACGTGGCCGTCCAAGAGCAGACACTGTCCGTGACCTGATCAATGAAGGAGAGCACTCTTCCAGCAGAATACGCTGCAATATCTGCAACAGGGTCTTTCCGCGAGAGAAATCACTGCAGGCCCACAAACGAACTCATACCGGTGAGTAAAGGGAAGGTGTGAATAGCTGGTGGGAGCAGCTTAGGAAGCAGCGGAGGAGGATTTAAAAAAAAACAAAACCAACACAAACCACAAAAAAAAAAAACCCCAACAAACTCGACCTGTTAATATTTTATTGTCGCTGTTAAATTAATCATGTTTTTCTTCCAATGCTTATAAGTGCAATCAAAGTCTTTGTAACTGTGTTTGTCATGGGAAAGTGTAGCAGCAATTTGGGCTATAATTGTATAGGCAAACTATGTAAATATTTTATCTGCTGCTGTCACAGGCTTACTTTGTAGCAAGGGAGAGCTTTTCTTGAGCTTGGTGCTCTGCATGTGGTAGTGCTTTTTATTCTGACTGCCTCTTCTCTGTGACTTGTCTTCTTCTTGCTGGTGTGTTTTTCTCGCAGCAGCTGAAATTTAGCTTAGCTGTAAGAGGAGACAGTAACTTAAAAAGTGTCTGGTAACTTAGGTAGTGTAACAGCCTAGAAGTATAGCTTAAATGTTGAGAAAAGAGTTCAAATGCTTAAAATGAACATCTACTTATCTCTCCTACCCCCTAGAATTCATTTTCTGGGGTGGAGGTGGTCATGCTAATTTACTGAACTGTATGTAGAAGTTAAAGTTAAAATGTAGGATCAAATCACTCAATACCCAGCTAAGCTTGAACTGAACAGGAGATGTTGTTTATTTAAACCAAGCAAATACTTTTTTTTTTTCCTTCGTGTTCCAACAGAACTATGTATTTTCAGTAAAGTGTAAACTAATGTAGCTCACAATACAGACACAACCACCAACACTCCCCCCCTCCCCCTGCCCCCAAATGCCCAAACAAACAAGTCCCCAGAAAAAACAAAACCTTGTCTCCCGTGGTCTCTTTTTCTAACTCAAGTCACTAAGACTAATCTAGATACTAATACTAAACAGCAGTTTCCTCATGCTCTTTGGTCAAAAGATCTTTTATGTCACTCGGTTGTATTAGGTGTTGAATTTGTGTGAACTACTTAACTGAGCAGAGCTTACCCTGGTGATACTCCTCTGACTTAACAAGTCAGCATCACCCTCATTTTGTCATCCTTCCTAATGCCTTTGTGTAGTTGTACGCAGTCATCATATGACAGAGGAAACAGCTGCTATCTCTGTTCTTCTCATTGCAATTTGCATAGGGAAGCCTGCCTTGACAACTGGCCTAAGAAAACCTTCTTGGCTTAAGTCTGGAATAAGTTTCTCTTGTGACCTCATTTTATCCATTACAATTTGTATCAAATAGTCTTCCCTAATGAGATACTTCTACAAGTTAGTATGTTACTATACTGTTGACTTCAGTTATTTTGCCCTAGTTCAGGCTATGTCAAGGATAATTATGTGGTTACAACTTGAATTACACTGCTTGTCCATTTACTCATTTTACTTCATATATTTCTTGCTCTATAGGTGCATAGTTTCATGGGACAAAGCTTATGTAGTGCTGTGCAAGAGTCTTAAATCAGAAAATATAACAAGGAAAAATACAATTTTGGTTGTTTGTTGTTTTTTTTCCCCCTCTGGAAATAATTGTATTATCCAGTAGCATTGAGCATGTACTTCAAAGTAAAGATCTGTTTGGGGTAAAAGTCAGTCTCTACTATTTGGTACACCAGGACTTTTTATATAGGTGCAAGCGTCTGAGTGCATAAAAGAAGAGCTTGCTTGTGTAAGTCTCAAGCCAGGGACCACCACTGGATTTTTTTTTTTACATTCAGCTTTGATAAATCTGTTCTGTCATTATTTTTAAGGTGAAAGGCCCTATTTGTGTGACTACCCAGATTGTGGAAAAGCCTTTGTTCAGAGTGGGCAGCTCAAAACTCACCAGCGTCTCCACACAGGGGAAAAACCTTTCGTCTGCTCAGAGAATGGTGAGCCATCAGAGAACAATTTGCAGCTTTCAGAACTAGGGTCAGTCTAGTATTGGAAATGTATGCACGTTCACGTGGCAAAGATCCATAAAAGCTTTGGATTTTAATTTTGGAGGAGCTTCTAGGGAAGGGAGGAGCCATGCAGAATCTGCATAGTTGTGCAAATACGTATGTAGGGATTGCACATGTTATTCATCAGTAATTCTGTCAGTTGATACTAATGTATAAAACGATGGGGCATGTTATGAACCTTGCAACTGGAGCTTGATGTTTTCAACCAAACCTAGGGTTATGTGAGTGAGGAAGGCTGGAGTCAGCAGCATCTTCATCCCACAGATGTTATGCTTATTCATTGTTGGCTGCTTACTGTAATGTGTACTTCATTGTTTTGTGCTTTTTAAGGCTGTTTAAGCAGATTCACGCATGCAAACCGTCATTGCCCCAAACATCCATATGCCCGACTGAAGAGGGAAGAACTCACAGACAGGCTGAATAAGAAGCAGACGGCTGACAATAAAGCTGTGGCTGAGTGGCTGGCAAAGTAAGTTCCCTCATGGTGTCGTTTTTCCCTAAATACTTATAAGGGTGGTCTGAGAAAGTATTCTATTGTTTAGGGGCAAAAAAAATTCCACCAATAAACCAAAACCAGCTGTTCCTCCAGTACAAATCAGCCTGGCCTTGCCTTTCCTTAAAGTGCAAGCTCCTGGTCAAGACAAAGTTCCTCATGAAGATTTTTCTTAGCTTTTTTTTTTTGTTGTTGTTCTCTGTTTAAGTGCTTCTTTTTGCTTTATCAACACCTGGTAATACCTTGTTAGTTAATGCTACAGTTTTGCTGAATTTGCATCTGTATGAGGGACAACAATTGTGTATGCCTAGGGAGAAAGCCTGCAGGGAACACCACAGAGGAGAAATCTGTCACAGATGTTCACTTGGGCACTCTACACTTAAAATACTGAATAAAGGAGGTTTCTGACAGCTTGCATACTACCATATAAGGGCTGAAAGATAAAGCCAAATGCAGTGCTTAGTTGGATGCAAGCAAGTGCGTGGGAGGTTTTTGCCAGCTTTGAATTGTTGGTGTGCGAGTCAGTTGTACGTATTTTAAAAGCATTCCCCACATTTGATTTTGTAGGTACTGGGAGACTAGAGAACAGCGTGCTCCAGCTTTGAAAACTAAAGCAATCCAGAAAACAGATCAAGAACAACAAGACCCAATGGAATATCTTCAATCTGATGAAGAGGATGATGAAGAGAAAAACAGCGCTCATTCAGCTGCTTGCCACCGCCGCCTCCAGGAACAGCGGGAACGCATGCATGGCGCATTGGCTCTCATCGAGCTTGCAAACCTAGCTGTGGCACCGCTGCGACAGTAGATAGGAACAGTCTGCCTATACAAAATGTACTTCCTGGTGGTACTTAACCAGTTAGATCATGGGCATAAGCTAAGCACCTTATTTGCTTATCATAGGCTGCTATTCTGTAGAATTTATGAAGAATGTTGTTGCCCCATAACATGGGGTGAGAGAATTGCACTTTTTCTAAGGTAAAAGACAGATGTAAAGTTTCTTAAGTATTTTGTAAATACGGGACTGCATAATGCAGGGTTGACAAATTTACGTATTGTGGGAAGCTAGATTTTGCAAGGTTAACTCATTCATTTGAAGCAGGTTTCGTAAGAAGCACTTTCTGAACAAAGTGTTCACGATTAGCAGGATGGTACATGTGGCCAAAGAAGGCTGGCAAAAATAAAAGTATTTATCTGATTATTTAAGCAAATTTATATTAACTGGTAGGTCTGAAGATATTATTAAGCAGCAATGAAACCGTGTTTTTCTAATGTCAGTGTATCTTTACCTAGTATCACTGAGGCAGAAGGCAAAGCTTAGTTATCTCAACTTGCAGAGGGGAAGAAACTGCTTCATGCAGGAAACTGTAAGATCGTTCAGGATCTTCACTGTGACTGCTCAAGGTATGAGGCTTGACTGCTGTTTTATGTTTTCTGATTTGATTTCAGCAGAATCTCTTGGTAGCACTTGTTATTCCTAATATGTGATGTTAGGAACTTTTGCACATTGTGGAGTTTATCTGGAAATGGTTAGTCTTGCAAAGTCTAGACAAAGGTAAACAATTGGTAATATTTTTTTCAGATATTTCTGGACCCTGTAGTGATTTGGCACTTGATTTTGTTCATAAAGGGGGTATTTACAGGGTGGTATGGATTTGTAGTAAACCATTTTAGATTAGCGAACACTAAGTTTTAAAGTATTGCTTTTATATGATTACTAGGAAATAGAAGCCTCCGTATTTTCTGTGCATAAAGCCACCTTATTGCTTTACTTCAGGATAACATGCCAATTTTGCGTTCACTAACTGTAGCACAGCTATCAATTAAACACTGCAGAAAACTAGTCACTATACAACTAGAAAATAGGCTTCCAAAGATAGTTAACAGTGTGATTTCATGTATTTCCCAAATAATAGAAGTTACAGAACGCTGCCTAGAACTCGGATGCTGACGTGAAATGTTTAGCAGGGTATCTTGTCACTTTGTGAATGTCGTATTCTTTCAAATAGCATTGTCTCATGGTGATCTTTTTCCATGTTTTGCTTTGAAGGCAACTAGAGATTCCTAATATGCTAACAAAACTGTTTCAGATTGGACTTTTTGTTGTGTGGTGGGGTTTTGGGTTTTTTATATTAAGCTACTGATTCAGGGGATATAAATAATTCATAGCTACCAACCTGCTTGATTTAACTCCTTCCTCTCATTAAAGGTCAGGAAATTCAGATGAGAAGGGAAAGCACTTTCCCCTCTTCCTTAAACAAGAGGAAGAAATCATTTTATCAATTCCTTGGTATAGACTGACCAGATGCATACAGCTGTTCCAGAAAAGTAGCATGACTTTACACCAGAAACTGCAACTCTTGGATTATGCTCTCTGATAATTGATAACCTATTGTGGTTGAAAATCTCATTAACTCAGTTTAAAACATATATTGATGCACTTAACTAAAGAGTAATTGAATAATTTAAAAAAAAAAAAACAACAAACTTTCATTGAATGTAAATAATTTTGCACCAGTGATACGGTTTAACTTTTGCTTTCAGCTCCTAAACTTAGGTGACATCAGGGTAATTTGTTTCTGGTTTAAGTCTTTTAGGCTTAAAAATATAAAACGCTGTAGTCATTCTAGGCTTCTAAGCCTATGTAAAACTTGTAATTTCAGCGTCTGTTTGGAGTTTCTCAAATAAGTTACATACTTTTGACTGTTCAGTTGTTTGCATGCTAATAGCCTGATCCCAGAATGAGCCCTGAGTGTAAATCTACTGTACTTAGGAGTCATAACTCATAATTGCTCCTGAGCAGTATTTCGCAGGGTACAAGACTGTGTACTTACCAGCCAGATGCAGACTGGAGTCATAACTTCATTAGGACTGAATTTTTTTTAACTTTATTTTTTTCCCCTTAGTCAGCTGTAATGCTTTGGGCAATTCACAGAATATTCCTTCAAGTATGACAAGTACACTGAATTGTACTTGGCTGTACACAAAATTGAGACAGGTGAAGCGGTTTTGTGTTGTGACAAGTTTTGGGTAAAATACCAAGTAAAAAAGATAATTGAGATGTTGAAGACTGCTTTTTGTTTTATTAAGGAATTACGTATAAGAAATCTTGGAAGTGTTCAGTGCTTCGTAAGATTAAGTTGTAGTTTGGCATGAGTTAACAGCAGAAGAGTGGATGCGCTGTCATTTTAATAGAAGCTTTGAATAAAAACTTGGTTTAATTTTCAAGTTTGGCGTGTGCTGTTTGGAAATTGTTAAATACTTGGGTTCTTCCTCGTTTCTGCAATCCCGTCACCCTGACTTGTCCTAGAGCACGAAGGTGTTTATTTTCCCTCCCTGCTGAAACGTGACACACGTTAACCACGCAAAGCCAATTATTTAGAGCTTTTTTTTAGCGTTTGACAAGCCCGTGAGCGTTCCTTTGAAGCCCAGTCTGGACCCGGCATGCTGCAGCGGCCCAGGTCCCGGCGCAGAGGGCTCCGGGCCTGCGGCAGCCCTG